GAGTAACTGCTGTACAATAAATTTACATAGAAACACAGGATTATTCACCTCAGGGTTATCTAATTGATGTAGATCTTTGCATCTTTAATAGTGAAGTGGACACACAGATGATAAGATGTGCACATATGAAATCTGCTGTTAAATTCTTCGAAGCTGATAACTATTTCTTACATTATTTCTGTGCTATTGTCTTTGACAGCAAGCGATACTGTTCAGAATTACAACTCGTATGCCCCCGTGTGTGAGCTTGAGGCCTTGCTGTGCCCCACCTCCTCATGTGCAAGATAAATACAGTTCTGTTTGCTTTTTCATGAGGAAATTACTCGGTTGCTTCTAGTATATACCAAAAATGCTGCCTTGAGAATGTGCATTTATTCAGGAAATGATCAGGCTGAAGTACTGGTTACCGGTATAAAATGTTTCTAAGTCACAGGATGAGGTTGAAATTCAGTTCAGCACCTTCAAATCTATCAGGCTTCTGGGAGACAGAGCACGTGGCTCATGCATCTGCTTATCTGTATCGATTCTCCAACAATGTGACAAACTGCGCTATGTGGGGAACAGTATTATAAATGCGTATGATGAGCCATGCCAAAGATGCATTATATCAGGAAATGCTTGCCAAATATATGCATTCAAAACTGTGTTTGTGAGGAAAATTACATGCTGCTAGAAGTGCAGATAAATTTCTATGAAATATGGAGATCTTGGAAAAATAGAGAGCAGATAAGCTCTTCCGTCATGTTCTTGGCTGCTAATCCGCCTCCCATGTGCTGGGGCTGAACCCGGTGCGTGTATTGTCCTGTTTATCACTGGGTCCCCTGCAACGATTTAGGGATTCTGGTAATATTGGGAGCCTATATGAGATGGCTCACTGCAGAGTCCAGCTCAGCTGTATAGAGAGGTGAGGCTAAGAGGCAGAGGATGGGATCAACAGGCAGACCTGTTCTCCAAATGTCATGTGATGGGCTAGGGAAACAACTGAATAATGTCTTCTATATGAGTAAAATGCTAGTTTACTATTGTGTTTTTATTGAAATCATTATAACCGCTTTCATCTGAACAAGAGAAGCAGCTTACAAAATAAGCATGTAATAGACGCTTAGTCATCTTGATTCATCTCCAATTACAGTGTGTTTTATCGCCGATATTAATTACTCCCCATCTCACTGGGTGCAGAGCTCTGACTGAAACTAACACTTCTGCTTGGAAATAAACATGTATCCCAGATTAGCTGCATGGGTGCTGTGTTCTTCGGGCTGAAAGGGCTGGCATTCTTAGGCAGTCTGATGCCCCTGTACTGCCACCGACTCGATCCACCCTCAACTCTAGCTGTTATACCACTCACGCAGGAAACATGGCGGATGAGGGCTGGATATGTCAGTCAATTTGGGGTGCTCAGAGGGCAGCAGTGGTGAGGAAACAGTCCTCCACGCAAGCTACCCGTTCATCTGCCAGTCCGTACCACTGCTGCTACTAGCTTCAGAGGAAGACAGTTGTTGCCATCTCCTTTGTGCCCAATCTCTCAGACCCTTTGGCGGGAAATATGGGAGCAGAGAAGGCCTAGCCCTGGAGCGGCAGCGTGCAAGCCCGGCGGCTCTGAAAGGATGTGAAGGAACTAGCTTGACTGGAAGGAAGCTGGGAGCTGTGCCAGAAGCCTAAGCTGGTGATGTCATGACATTCCAGCTTCTGCTGAAGGCAGATGCTCCAAGCGCATGAAATAAGGACATACATGATGGGGGTTTAACCAACGTGTCTGGATGACTGTTGATTGCAAGAAGAAGGAAAGTGAATTGAAACCAGAAAGTTCAGCAGCACAGTTGAGTCCCAGATGTCTTAACAACGAGCTTAGCATGAGCTGGGTGTACACAGTAGCATTTTCCTTTGTACAGCTGTCTCTAAAATTAAATGGCCACTTTGAACACCTCTAGGTTTCAAATGTGACCGTGGTTCAATGTGTTGTTTGTTATTATTTTTAACAACCATAATAGTTTTGTTGCATTGTTGATGATGACAGAGCACTCAAACACGTGTCTTGATTCATTTACATTAAATTTAGATAGCAACCTGTGTGATCAGACAGTTCATTTGTATCAGAAGTCTGTCTTTAAATCAATAATGGCTAGGAGTACTATCCGTCAATATTTGTTCGTGCCGTGGGCGAAATGAAGCATGTTCTACTGCTGAAACATCTATAGCCAATTAACTCTGTTTGCTTTAGATGTAGGCCTGGTAACTGAGAGTCAAATCACTCAGCTGCGGTAAGAAGTGACAGTCGCCTGTATCTGTTTGCAAAAGTGATCGGTCCCCTTTGAGTGGTGTTTCACTGGATCCTTTGCTGTGTTTCGGCCTTTGGCCTGATTATTGTTCTCCATGCTATCTTGAGGCTGCGTGCCTGTTAGTCAGTACTGAATCCCCCTCAGACACTTTCATAAATTATATGCCACTGAAATGACTCTTGCTAAGTACTACAATGGTGTGCTGGCAACTTTCTTTGTTTATAACAAGCTCTTTCTCCCGAGGCGTTGACAGGTCAGCCATTCTCTTTAGCTCTTTCTTACTGCAATTATTTCAGTTGCCCAGCCTCCTGTCTCTGTTTATATCTCAGAAGCAGATGATGTGAGACAGCACGAGACACTTGCTTCCCACCGTGCTGTACTAAAAGCTACACCAGACTGAGGATCGAGACCGAAGTGGCTGGCCCAGGTAGTAATCTAGGCATCGAGTCCCTTGTGTGTGGCGACCTGCCTGATCCTCCCCCATTCGACACTTTGTGTGTTAGTGACACAGCTCTGCCAACCACTCAGGTAACACCAATGATTTTCTTTTCGTGCTGCTACCGCATTCATTAGCTGATGTTTCTCTAAATCATCACCCACCACTATACCACCATAAATAATAAATCACTTGTCAACTGCATCGGCAACCAATTGTGCAATGAGCCCCGGCCTCCTCACTCCTGCTCCCATACATGACAAATGGGTTAGGCTGGGAGAACACAGGGCAGGGGCGAGGGAGGAGGTGTTCTGTCTGACTGGATGACGTGGAAGAGCATGCCAGTGAGTCCACTATTAGACAGTAACTGCCCTTCACCAGAAGACAGCTGAATCCTGCATTAAAAACGTTTTAAGTGGACTTAAATATACATATCTTGACAGGAACAAGTATGCGTCTTCAACTTTCCTCTGTGAGCAGGAACACCACAACAGGACTGCCAGAAGAGCCTGTCTGCTCCTGGGTCACCACTGCGTCCTCTGGTGCTGGGCTACTACAAACATACTCTGTAGAACCTAACACCTGAGGAAGATGCTGGAGGAGATGATCTTTGGATATTTTCAGACAGACAATCTTTGGCCAGAGAGGAGTGTCTGTAATAACTTGATAAATAATGAAGTGAAAAGTCAGACATGCAATCTGGTGACCAGAAGGAGGCGTGACTGTGCTAAGGTGGAAGCCCCCATGCAAGCGGCTGATCAGCAGTCAGCTCCTGCCCAGCTGTGGCAGCAGCCTGGCCCCGATGCTGGAATATCCATGTGAGATAGAGGATCCTCCCATCCTATTCCATGGTTTCAAATATTCATAAAGCATTTGTGTAATGAATCAAAATCATTTGCTAATGAAGCATTATTGAGCAAAGGGAAATACTCACTATTTCTCAAAATCACCACAATTTCAGCACCAACCTTCAAATCAGTCATTTTGCTCTTTTATTGACATGGTATTTCATTGAGGCTAGATCGTATCATTTCCTTGCCAGGAAACTGACATTTATTGATAATGAATCTAATCCTTCAGGGCTATAACAATTTAACATAAAGAGTGTGCACAAAATTAGCATTTCTGTGTGAATCTCTCATTTAGTATCGCTATTTGTTTGTTTGTTTGTTTTAGTCTTTGTTAACAGTATGTTAACAGTGTGTTAGCTCTCTTCAGCTCCTTACGCTATCCTCTTAACACAGTTTGCAGCCAGTGGCAGAAATAGGTAGGGCAGAAAAGAAAGTCAGCTTGAGCTAGATATGAAGGATATTTTATTTAGTTTGCCTGCTAAGCAAACAGCTTGTAACGAATCAAAATGCATTTCTGAAACAAATTTTGCAGTGGCATTTATTCTATTTAAAATAAATAAAAAACAAAATGTATACAAAAAATGAAGTTTTTGTTTACATGAGAGAGAGGAGAAGGAAATGGGATGGAACTGATTTGACTGAACTCATATGAGCTGACATGAAAGTAAATAGACTGTTCCATCCACAACTGATGACCCCCTTGGTTTCTTTATGCTCTAGCTGCGTTTAGGCTGTAATGCGAGTTCATGAGAATTTGGTCTGGAAGTGTCCTTGGCAGCTACTGAGGGCTTGATATGTCCCTGGGAGCCGGGTGGAGGTTTCCCCTTCCGTGTGCGAGGCTAGCCATGCTCATTCAGTCATCAGAAATCTCCCAGTGGTGACATCACACCAGGACAGCAGCTGTGCTGGCAGCCAAGGCTGCTGGCCAGGCCAACTGTAGTGTAAATTTTATAGTTGGCATGACGTGGTGAATGCAGTAACTGCTAGGAGCAGGCATCAGTGAGGTGGTTTCATTTCCTCCTATGTGCCGTCTGATCTTATGCAGCCAGATGAAGACGTACGCAGCATGCAGAAGGCTTAAACAATGGTATGACTTGAAGTAATCCCAATTTTGTGTTATTACTAGTCCTGCTAAGTGGCGCTGTACTGTAACACATTTAATTTGCTGAAAAACAAACATTTGGTGATTGCAAGTGATTTGTGGAATAATACATTAACGGAGTATAACAATTGACTGTTTGTTGATACAAGTTGTGTGTAGCCTCTATGTTGCTTACAATCAGTTGTGTGTATTGAAGAGCTATTCCTCCTGCATCCATAAAATCCCCCTTGGACCAAGCTCTTGCCTGCAGCAGCGCTGAAACACAGCTGGCTGCTCCTTGCCTTCGGGAAGGCCTACATTCTTCCCAGTGGCTCTTCCCAGTAACCACCTGCCAGGCTCTGCCTCTGGCTACTGAGGCAGCCTCTCCACTTCACCAGCCACCTCTCCGAGTAATAGTCACAAGGCTTCCCTTTGAGGACTTTCTCAGGCCTTGACTCCGGGAGTCTACAAGCCTGGCCTCTCTGGCCTAGTATATCTCTCCCCATCCATTTCTCTTCATCTTGCAGCTCTGTCAACTGTGGCTGCATCCTTTTCTCACTCGGGATTTTGGCTCCGGCTAATCCGCATCTCCGTGGGTGATAGTCGATCCCGAGAAAGGATGCCAGCCTCTGTCTGTGCCATTCTACTCCTTCAAGCCCAGGAACGTTGATTAAAAACTCCTGCCAGCACCCTGGCCTCGGCTTCTTCAGGGAGGGTCTGGAAAGGCTCTCGGGAGATGGTGCGGCGTGTTGGCCTGGAGAATAGATGGTTAAATAAGTATCACTAGTCACCTGGATGAAACATCAAACATCATGTGCTCTTTGTAAAAGTTCTGCGTGTGTTCCTTAGGTAATTATTTCTTTGTCTTTCCGTTGTTCCTGGGGTTGTATGAAGAGCTACAAAGGAATCCCAGAAAATTGTAAGGCAGTTTTGAAATGAAGGAAAAGTCAGAAAACTGCTGCAAACTTACTGTGTTCAACAGAGACCTTTGTTTCCATTCTAGGAGTTCTTTGGAGCAACTCAGTTCTCGGCTAATAAGCGGATGGCGCCGCAGCCCCAGGTCGTCGCGACTGGACCCACGCTGTCAGCGCTTCATGGGACATGTGTGCTGTGCTTGCAACTGATGGAGCAGAGATGGAGCAGAAGGGCAGTTGCAAAGGCAGGCTCCAGTGCATCTGGTAAGTGGGAGAAGGTAGTTGATGGGCGCTTGCTGTGGCTAAGTACAGGCGCCATGTGTGTCACTCTTATGATGAGCAAGCAAGAAGTGTTGCTTGTGTGCCTTAAATGTGCTATTTTCTCATGCCAAATTTGTATGGCATAGGCTTTTCATGGAAATGTCTCGGGTGCCGACCAAATGTATCCTCTGGCTATTTATGCATGAATTAGTCGAAATAGTGAAAGCGAGATTCAGATAGTCATTTACTGAAGGCCATTCATAAAACGGTGCATTTTGTTTTTAATCCTTTATTGAGACTAAAAGATATCATGCAGTATCTTAAATCTTATACAAAATAACCTTGTAAATTTACAGTTAAATCTTTACCTGTTATCTAGCTAAACTAAGACAAAATAAAATAAGACAAAGCAAAATAAAATGGAAAGCAATACCCAATCATTCCCAATGTAATTGGCATTTGTAATATTGAATGTAACTATGATATTACCTTCACTGTTGTATATTTTCTAATATATTTATATTATGTGTGTACCATTTTTCCTTATTTTATATTTTTCACATGGCATTCAAATAACATAAAAACAGTGTTGCTATCATATTCTTTTTGTAAGCTCTTGAACATATCCCAGTTTTAATGAAATGAATTGTTTTTGTATTCATTCATGAACAGCTGTTAGTGAGCACACACCTTTGCTATTCCCATTTGAGCCACAGGTGATGGGCAGCATCCTGTGCATCTGGTACCAGCGAAGGAGCTCTTGTGGCAGGTCTTGCTTGAGATTTCCCATAGGCATCTGGTGGCACTATAATTTACTGAGACAGCTGGGACCTCTGTTTGATCCAGCAGGCTGATCCTATCTTCTTAGCGATCTTGTATGTCTGGCAGTTTCAGATGCAGTACTGCCTTTGAAGTTTCTTTGTTCAAGGATGAACTGTTCAAGATGGTAAATAGGAAATGTCACAAGGAGTTGCATTACTTACTAGTTTTTCAGAGTATTGCAATTTCTGATTGTCTATTATCTTGGCTCTTTATCTATGAAAGAATACCAAAGTGATGGAATATATTACATCGGAAGATGAGCAGATGAATGGATATTGTGTCTGGCCAGTGTTAAGTTCTGTAATGTATTGCCAGGCGACATGATCTTCTTGGCCTGTGCTGATGGAATCCCATTGCCTTGAAACGGCACACCATGAAAGTGACCTGTATCATTCTTGCTCTTTCTTTAGGGAACTAGTGAATATTTTCATATGTGCATTATTCACATCAGCATTCCCCATTTGTTTGTTTTAGCTGTCATACTAATTAAGATCTCAGACACCTATATGGTAATAGGCATTAATATCAATATACTTTGTAAGCAAGGTGTGTTAAGTTCAGCAGCAGAATATTGAACACCTTTGGGAGATATGTGTCACTAACACCTCAAAAAAACAAATATTAAATCAATAATAACCAAGCTAATAAAGAGACTGAATGTATACATAAGTCAGAGTTCAGCAAATGTAGCCTGTAAGCCCTGTGCATTGGGTTTCAGGGCTGGCTGTGCCAATGGATTGGAGCCACAGTCAGCAGACAGTGATCCTGTGTCCTGGTAAAACTACTGTTAACTGAAGGATGTAACCATGTGTGAGTTGATGAAGGTCGCCAAGGATTCCACGGACTGAATGTGTTCAGGAATCTGGCAGTGCCAATTCCTTGCAAGCTAATATCTGGACATGAATATGTTTTAAGGCTGCAATCGCTCTGCAGTTCTGCAGCCTATATGCCCTGTTGACTTTCTATGCTCAGCTCCTCTAACACTTTGTTCTTAACGCTCGATGTTCTTTATGTTTCAATCTCTTTCCTGTTGATGTTAATTATTTTGAATTG